AATTTAGTTATTCACTAAGATAGAATAACAAATAAGTTACTTATGAATGAAAAAAAAAAAGAATTGCAATTTAAAAAACTAATGTAGTTAATTGTTGAACGCACTAGATATTAAAATTGATTATTGATCTCATTAATTGTGATCATGTTTGTTACATTGGTAAAAGTTTATTACATTTAATGTCTTACAAAAGGAAAAAATATGTTATGATAGAAAATATATATAAGCACATAATATGCATGGAATTAAGCAATTGATCAATTTAAGCTTGTCTTATTTTTCCCTTTTTTTTAATTTTTTTTTCATTTTCTCCTTTTTGGCTTCTGCAGGAAAATCATTTCTCTATACATATTAGAATTTCCTACCTTATTAAGTAAACATCATATGTTTGTTTTTTATTTTTTTGGTAATTATTTTAAAACATTAGTTTTTATGAAAATGTGTGGGTTGTTTTGATAGGATGCTTAAGTGTTTTAGATTTGTTTTTGTGTATTTTCTTGTTTTGCATTGATGACACTCCTATTAGTTTAAAAAAGTTACGGATATGTGAGATGGGATGCTAAATTTAACAAAATTAAGGTAGATTTTGGTTTGATAAAGAGTCTAAAGAGTCAGTACCAAGACATGATAAAGCGACTTTTCGTCTAACTTTATTAAGTACACTATTGTATCTAGTATTCAAACAACTAAGAGTCGATAGTGAATTTATTTATTTTTACATTTTTTTGTATTTGTTGACTTTAGTAGCGAATTGTATAAAATTTCTACTCAATTTGCACAGTTACTAATATCAAAAAGTAAAAACTGAAAAATTAAAGTTAAAAGTTAAAAGGTTTGTTGGTGAATACTTATTGAAATGATTAAACTTGGATATAATTAAGATTTTCGATTGTTAAAAGAAGAAAAAAATGTGTTATGCTATATTTAAAGCAAATAATTAATTTTATCTCATATATACGTACATATTGAATTTGAGTTAATTATTTATTTAAATATATTTATATTTTTTTAATTAAAAATATTATTATGTTGATTTCTGATATTAGGAATTGAGTTATAAGAGAAAATGAAGTACTCTTAAATGACGAAAAAATAAGAATTATTATTTAATCAACGAATGTAGTTAATTATTAAGTGAAATAAATTTTTAAGTTAATTGTTAATCTCGTTAATTGTAATGATATCTATTAGATTGCTAAAAATTAATTACATTTAATGTCTTAAAAAAAGGAAAAATGATGTTAGGATAGCAAATATATATAAGCACATAATATGCACGGAATAAGAAATTCATTAATTTAAGTTTGTCTTATTTTTCTTTTTTTCTTCTTTTTCGTTTTGTTTTATTTTCTCCTTTTTATCTTATTTAGTTAGGTCATTCCTTTATATATATTAGAGTTTCTTGGCTTATTAAGGAAAGATAATATGTTTATTTTTTATTCTTTTACTAATTATTCAGAGATATTAGTAACCAACATCCTAGGATAACTATTTATAAACCGTTATAAAAATAGGTGGGTTGTTTTGATAGGATAATTGAGTATTCTAGCTTTGTTTTTATTTATTTTCTTATTTTGCATCGATAATAACCTCTATTAGTTTAATTTTACATGAAAATTTGAGAAAACGGAAATTGTTTAAGAAAGTTAAGGATATAGGGAATGATGATGCTTAATTTAACAAAATCTTGGTGGATTATGGTCTAGCAACGAGTCTAAAGAGTTAGTATTAATACATGCTAAAGTGGTCTTTTAATACAACTTTAATTATTACACTGTTGCATCTAGTATTTCAGCAATTGGGGGGTCGACAATAATTCTATTTTTTGGACATTTTTGTTTGTGTTTGTTGGCTTTAGTAGTGAGTTGTCCAAGATTTCTGTTTAATTTGAATAGTTACCAATATCAAAAAGTAAAAGTTAAAAAATTGAAATTGAAAGTTAAAACGTTTTTCGGTGGATGTTTCTTTAAATGAGTAAATTTGGTTATAATTAAGACTTTTGATTGTTAAAAGAAGAAAACAATGTGTTAAGGTAGATATTTAAATCAATTTATCAATCGTATCTTATATATATATATATGTATGTAATTTGGGTTAATTATTTAAATATATTTATATTTTTTAAATAGAAAAGATCATTATGTTGGTTTTTGATTTTAGAATTAAGTTTTTTGCTGAGATATAATTGAAAATGAGATACAAATGAATGAAGAAAAAGTAAGTATTATCATTTAATCAACAAATGTAGTTAATTGTTAAGCTCATTGGATGTTTAAGTTGATTGTTAATCTCATTAATTGTGATCATGAAGAAGAAGTATTTAAGTGTTGACTCCATATGTTTTTGATG